ATATAACGCCTTATCTCTGTGGGCTACACCTTACCTGAAAGTAGCTTACATGTACAGTAGTAACAAAAGATGGTGGCTGAATGCTTGTGCAGACAGCAGGGCTAAAAGTATGATGGGGTAGATGGGGGGGCACTTTTCATAAAGTGAACATCCTCTGACTCCCCCCCCCCCCGGTTTTAACCGAATTGTGCCTCATAGCCTTCTAAAAGCTGTGGGTGGTATCCAATTAAGTCACCCTCAAAGCAGATCTGTTGAAATGAATGGACTTAAGTTAGTCCACTGATTTCAGTGGGTCTTCGAGTATGACTAACCTTGGATACCATCCGATAGCTTAGAAGGGAAGTGGGCTTCCTCTGTTCCCCACCCCCACCCCATGTAATTTGAGGTCTGGTAAACAGAAGGGTTTCTTACTAGCATTAGCTCTTCAATAGTGTCCCACGAATTTTTATTCAGATCAAGAGGGAGAAGGACATATCGACCTTGTTCTGCTTTAGATGTTATTTAGCATGCATGCATAGGTGCGTAGGCATCAGGTTAACTTCTAAATCAAAACGAATATTATATATCACATCAAGAATCAAAATTAAGTAGATCTATATTGTCTTTATTGGAGGTTCTCAAATAAATGGTGATCTGTGAGCTCCAATCAGATAGTCTAGTGCAAGGGTAGGCAAACTAAGGCCCGGGGACTGGATCCAGCCCAATCACCTTCTAAATCTGGCCCACGGATGGTCTGGGAATCAGCGTGTTTTTACATGAGTAGAATGTGTGCTTTTATTTAAAATGCATCTCTGGGTTATTTATGGGGCATAGGAATTCATTCATTCCCCCCCCCTTCAAAATCTAGTCCAGGCCCCCACAAGGTCTGAGGGACAGTGGACCAGTCCCCTGCTGACAAAGTTTGCTAACCCCTGGTCTAGTGCATAGTCAAGAATATCTCTGCTTGAACCTGTGTTTGATGCTTTTTTTCAGGTGATTGAGATTGAGGCTCCTTTTGATCAAGGAGCTGTGACATTCACAAAAAAATGTTAATGTCGTCTAGCAGTTCCCCCCTAAAACATTTCCTGAGTTCAAGGGGCCCTTTGCTGTTCTGTGGTCTTTGGCCTGTGATTTCCAGAATCCATCCCTGGCTTTGACTTTGAGGATGTTGCCTCTGAAGAAAAGAGGTTGTTAAAATGAGCATTGATATGTGTGTGTCTAGTGGGGAGTGATCCGCTGAGACCACCAGCAATTTTTGAGTGGTCTGAGGGACAAAAACCCCCTTTGAGAACCATTGACTGCATCTTAGGACCACTCAGCTGCAAAGAGGACCAAGATCACCCTTAAAAACAGAACAGAATGGCAGGCAAATCTCAGTCCTACCACTGAACATGGCTTAATTTCACTCTGCTCAGCTTATCACTCAAATGATATCAGCTCCGTCGAGAGCTAAACGCTTTTGATTTGTAGAGCCTCGGAATGATAAACATACTGAAATGAGGGTTGTTGATATGCAAGCTATGTTGCAAATATGCAAACTATGTTGCCCTGTCTCAGTATCCAGCCAATTTCCTGCAAGGGTCCATTGCACTCAACCCAGCCATATTATGGATGATGAATGGTGCTGTTGAAATACACCCCAAGCTGAAGAAACCACCTGTGCCCTTCTAATTCTGGAGCAGATGTCATCCCAAGGCTTACAAATTACCATCCTAATTCTGCAGATACGTAACTGTTGAAAAACATGGTGCGGTTTAGCTATAAGCAAGAATAGAGAGTCCTACAATTCAGTTCAGTTCTTGCAGCACTAAATATTTGTTGCTGCTGTTGCCTGCCAGATATTAAAAAGGTAAAGGTACCCCTGCCCGTTCGGAAAGCACCTCCGGGTGCAAGTAGATAAATAGGGACCGCTTACCAGCGGGAAGGTAAACGGCGTTCCGTGTGTGCTGCGCTGGCTCGCCAGATGCAGCTTGTCACGCTGGCCACGTGACCCGGAAGTGTCTCCAGACAGCGCTGGCTCCCGGCCTATAGAGTGAGATGAGCGCACAACCCTAGAGTCTGCCAGATATTAGACATATAGTGTTGTACTAACATAGCTTGAATTATAACAGCTGCAACATCTTTGGCTGCATATCTACAAAACAGATGAGTCATCTATAAGTGGGTCTCATATTTCCTGCTATTGTTTTGCTTCTACTCCACTCAGTTGTGTGCCATTGCTTGCATTAGATCTGGAGATGATAGCTCCTGGCACAATATCATTGGCAACCATAATATGATCTTCATGATGGCTGAGTGATACAGGCAGTAGCCCCTCATCCAAAATATTTAGTTGCTGATGCAGCAGCTTGTTGATTCAGGACACTGATTCAGTCCCACAAACATTTCTGGTTGAATGGTTTATTCATGGCTCACTGCTGGCTGAATTTTTCAGGTTCTAACAAGGGGTCCCGTATTTAGCTGAAGAGATGCCAGGAATGGCCCTAATGTTAGGCAAGGTGGAGCAGCCACCTCAGACAACAGTTTTGGATGGGGTGCCATGGAAAGGTAGCAAATTGTCAATTATTTTGTGTATTGGATTTACAACTGGAGGAAGGAGGGGAATCATGAGGACTTTGGGGCTCAGTTTTGCTCTGTCTCTGAAAGATGTGCTGTGCTGTGGTGTCAACCAGCCATTTTAATATAAGCCTTATACATTCTTTTTTTTAGGGCCATATATATTTACCCACAACTTAGCAAACCCCACCCCAAGTTCATAGTCTGTGGTAGTCCTACTCAGAGTAGACTCATTAAAACTAATGGACATGACAAACTTAGATCTACTCTGAGTATAACTTACTTGGATCCAACTTTCAAGTGTGGAAGCTCTCAGAGACTTAGTGAATTGATTCCTCAGAGACACCTAGGAAAGCCCTGGTGTTCAGAATGCAGCACACATGGAAAACTGGAGTTGATGTCGCTGGGCGGAAATGAGCCCTGACAGTTTTATGCCCTCGACTAACTAGTAGTGGCATCATGGTTTCCTGCGGTCATGGGAATTCTAAGCCAATGCTTTGGGATTTTGCACTGCCCAAAATAACCAATCTCCTGTATTTATGACTTGGGGTTTGTTTTCCTTTCCAGGGCCGCTTAGCATGCATGAAAGCCCAAGTCTGAAGAACATGAGATGAAACCCTGTGTGAATTACGGGGTTTGTGTGTGCCCACCTTCCTGGAGTGACTTTTCATGACATAAGCGGCAAAGCGGGAAGCGCAAGAAAACTTGTGCTTCCTGTTGCCATGACTGAAGTGGAACATAAGAGCCTCAGAAGAGCCCAGCTGCATCAGGCCAAAGGACCACCTAGTCCAGCATCATATTCTCATGGTGGCCAGCCAGATGCCTGTCCACTCATCTGCGATTCCTGGAAAATGCCTCTGACAGTGGAAGTAGAACATAGCCATCATGCCTAGCAGCCATTGATAAACGTAACCTCATTGAATCCTCTTTTAAAGGCATCCAAGTTGTTGGCCATCACCACATCCCCTGGAAGCAGATTGTGGGAAATTGCAGTCAATCATAACTATGCATGAGGGCTAGTTAGTGCATGAAGGGGTCAAAACAATAGAGCTGGATTACTAGACTCGGCTAGCTCCCGATCCTTCTTCTCCAATGAGAGAGGAAGTGAAGCCTTCTCTTCCTAGTTTCTCTCCACACCATGTAACTGACCAAAAAGGATGTCTAAGCTTTGCTCCAAGCTTAGAGCATGTGTTTGAAGCAATCTTTCTGTATCTTCTATCCAAGAGTATTCTGCCTGAGCTCTCTTTGCTGCTGCTTGGATAAAGGCATGAATCTGACCTTTGGAATATTTCTTAAATTAAGCATTTTAAACTTACTTAACAGTTTAAGGTCTGTACACTGAAAGCAGGGTAGAACGAGGGAAGCACTTTGCAAGCAGACTAAATATTTTGTGTTAATTTAACTATCACAGCTTCTCCCAAAGTGTCATGGGAATAATATCTTGGTACAGGAGCAGAGAATTCTATGTCTGAAGTCTGTAGCCACCTAAGAAAAACAGTTCCCAGGGTTCATGGGTTACAGAAATCACTGTTTAACCAATTCAAATCCTGAATATAGATTGTACATTAAGACATAACCTCCCAGGGCCTAAGATCTCACCTTTATTCAACAGGACCGACATAGAACTGATTAATCTTCTAGCCCATACTTCAGTGCCATGCTCACCTGTAGATATATGTCTTTCTTTTTTACTAAATGTGTCAAATGATCAAATCTAGGATAAATGGCTTTCTTCAAACGGTAGACTGTGGCACAAGTTTCAGCTCCCAGAAGACGGTTGGAAGTGACCCTGCTGAGATGAGGGTCACTAGTAATATACTGAGGACTACAGATCCATTTTTTATCTCGTATAGCGTGGTGGTTTCAAATAGCTAGTTTTTTTGCTGTTGTTTGAGAAAATTCCTCATTGCTCACACTGCGGTAACATTTTGTACAACTAAGATGTACAGAGTACATTAAGAAATAAAAATGACTTCTCAGCCTATGAGACCTATTTGTTGCTACTGAAGATGTTCTTATTAGGAAGATACTTCCCCTGAGTTTTCTCAACCCAAATGCAAATGTTTATTCATGACACACCTCCCTATGAGTAGAACCATCATGTGCCAAAGGGGTGCTCACATGTTATGTTCAATGCGTGTACACAAACAGTTGAGTGGACACTTGCTTGTTACATTCAGTGTGACAGTCCGTGTGTGGCCTGTAGTTGAGCTGTACACATCAGTGAATGTAAACTTGTACCTGTGTAGAGAATGCTTGTACACGCATCCAGCTTATCATGGGAACAGGCCTAGTGTTATTCCTCGGAGGCAAGATGGGAATTTTAGAATGACCATAGATGACTAGGAGGGAAAGACTTGGCTTAGGGAAATGTGCTTTTGGTCTTCAGAATGGATTTCAGTGACAAACAAACCACAGCAGGGAAAAAGACTACGAAAAGAAAAATAAGCACCACCAAACGCAGATAAGCACCAAATCTAACTTTAAAAGCATGGTAAAGACAACAACAAAGAATATAGTCACTGCGCAGCAATGAAGCAGGTAGAATTTTCTTACTTTTTATTTTAAAAGGTGGGAGTTAACAAGACTTCGTCCCCCCCCCTTGCATCTCAGTTGCTCTCTTGTAATCATTCCTTTCAGGTGAGTTGGTGCCAGATTTGAGAACCGCAGAGTTAATAAAGTTACCATTTTGGATTTTGTAGACCTTACCCAACTGCACGCTTTTCCCATCCTACTAGTAACTGAAATCTGGATCTCCTAAACTTTCATAAACAATTGCCCCGACTACTTGACTTTGTATAGCCCAGTCTCCCAACACCCTTTTTGGTACACTTTCCTTTACTTGCCTTCTAGAAGTTAGGGAGTAAATTGGTCTGGAGGTCCTTAGCCTGAGAGTTAAATAGCCAAAAACATGTTAAGATTTTGTTTCTTTAAAAAAAAAAAAGTTAGAAAAAGAGAGGGCCAGGAGAAGGAGGTCAATACTTTGAACAGAAGCGGATTTGTTTCACTTTACTGATATTATCAAATCAAGAGGTCAACAGAAACACACAGATGAGTGCGTGAGCAGAGTAATCTAGTGGTATAGATTAGGCTACTAACAATTTTCTGTCTCTCTTTTTCTTTTAGCACCGTTAATATATAAGTTTAGATCTATATTAGCACCTTGTCCCCGATAAAACAACCAAAAAACCCCCAAATTGTTAAAAAAAAAGAAAAGAAAACATGGGAGTTGCAGGTAACAGAAGCAGAAGCTGCTGAATTTAGATCACGAGATCCTTGTCAATATCCTCTGCAAAAGAAGAAGAAAGGCGTGGTGTAAGAACACGTTGTGTGTGAATCTGTACAGTGTTATTCCCCAATATGTATGTGAATGTTTATTGAAAAATCCACCCTTAATCCCTGCCTGCCAGCCCAGCCGACCACCCCTGCCCAAACCAGCTGCCCCATTTGCCTGTTGATGTTCCTTCCACCCCCTGTTATGAGGCCCCTATTCCCCTCAGAAATCTGCAATTCCCAGGAGTGGTTTAACAATTAATCTATCTTTCCAGGGAACTCTGGGAACTGCAATAGGGGTCTCCTAACAACTCACATCACCTTTCACAAACTACATCACCCCACCTAATGCGTGGGCCGGCTCTGAAGCTTGACCAGAGTCCCACTGCCAAAGTTAAGCAGGGTTAGCCCCACAAGCTGTCTAACAGGGAAGGCAGCCTGACAACCAAAGGTAAGCTGCTTTTAGTTCCTTGGGGAAAGATTGGGGTACAAGCGAAATAAAAGAGGCAGACTGTCAAGGAGTTCCAGAGTAGATCCCAGCGCTCATCGGGTGTGCCACCAACTGGGCTAGTTTATGAAGTTGCTCTGGTTTCAATCCTATGATCACTTACCTGGAACTAAAACCCATGGAACTCAGTGGGATTTAGTGGACGTATAGAGGACTGCAGTGTTAGGCATGGCTAGCTCCTTTTATGCAAGTGCTATTATTTCTGGTGTATCTCCCTAGTGCTCTTGGTCTGGAATCATCAGGAGATGTTTGGAATTAGGAGGGCCCCCCCCTTTCCTCTAGTGAAGTCCCAGTGATGCCTTAGCCCTGGTGTGCGGTATACTTACTCTCCTTAATGCCAAAGCAGTTGCCCCATTCCTCAAGAGCGATGTACTTGTCATTGTCTAGATCACATGTTTCAAAGAAGCGGGTGGTGCAGTGCTCCATGGGGATGAGGGGAGCTCTCAGTGGGGCCAGCTCAGTGTGGGACAGATACCTGAAAGGAGGAGCATCAAGGTGGTCACAACAACAACAACAACAACACCGTAAAATTACCATCAACTGCAGTTTTCACTAGATTGGCAGAAAGGACAGAGGCAACAATCCCTTCGCTCTGGTCCTCCACTCCCACCCAATCATACCCTTCCTTTATATTTTGAGGCTCATTCTCATGTCCATTCAACAGGAAGGCTTCTATGTTCTGGGTCCATTGTGCCATCAAGACAATGAGCACATATCTGTGGGCTTAACTTTGGGCTAGGTCAATCCACGCTGGCAATTCAAGCCACTGGTGCTCCCATCTCGTCTTGTCCCTGGCAGCAATTCCCCCCCTTTTATATTGGACTGAGGCCTGTTTCCTAGTCATACTTTACCCAAGCTTCATGGAGGCCAGTTTCCTGTATCTGTGACCTATCATAGAATCATAAGAGTTGGAAGGGACCCAATGGGCATCTGCTCCAACCCCCTGACTTGTGTCAGTCTAGTAATGTATGAAAGGAAACAAAAACTAATGTAGGAACTTTCCATGTGCTCCATTCTTCTCCTGTGATTTTCTCATTTCGTACATTACTAGAGCATCGCGGGACGCAGTCATCATGCACCATGACATTTGGAGAATGTATGGATCAGGCTTTATATACCAAATATATCTTGTTCTTTGGGAAATCTCTCTCATTTTCTGGAGTAGTCTTATCTAAGAAACGGAAGGACCTGCAAAACATCCCATTACCCAAACCTGAAGGACATTATGTGGATTGAGAATGCCCCGAAATCAGCCCTTTAAATGGACGGGCTGTACTCTCTATCCGTTGATACCAGAGCCTTCGGCAGACACTCCCTTTCTGTTTTTAAAAGTTAAATTTAGGAATCCTGAGAATCTGAAGGATGTACTGCTTAGCAGGCTGAAAGCCAAATGCTTGATTGTGGCACAGTCATGCAGTAAGGGAAGGTGCCCATCTTTCATAGTAAACACCACCCTGACCTCTGCTAACAAAGTAGCTTTTCAAAGAGCTGAGTGCAGGCTATTTTACACCTAAGATAAATAAGGGACTTGGTTCTTGTATACTAGGCTATTTATTATTTTAAGCCTTGCTTGATGAGGGCTAATGAAGGTTATAAAAAATAGAATTTTGCTTGTGATCTAAGACAAATGTGCCTTGTCTCTGCTAGAGTTTATCACAGTCCAGGGAAGTGGGTGGGTACATACCCATCGACAGGGTGCTGGTCCAGCTGACCAAATTGCCAATGCACAGGGAAGATGTACATGTTGTAGTTCTTCTCAAAATCACGGGTCAGCAGTTCCACTGTGTGGTCCCCAGCTTCCAGGCGCTTCTCATTCTCGTGGATCTTTTTCACCTATTCATCAAGATACAATTTCCATTAAAAAAGAAATTAGTCTGAAGCTTCCATCAGAGCCTTTCTCCTGGGGTAAAGTGGGCAATAGCTTGTATTCCATCCTGAGATGGCCAAAGAAGAGCCACAGAGCAGTGAATTTCTGGCGGAAATGTACATGAAGGGGGGCATATGACATGCTGTCCAAGAGAAGTTTCCATCTGGTGGAATACACCAGCACATGAAGGTAATGCAAGACACACAATGGCTGGTGGCACAGGACAGGCTTTGCGAATGGCATGCACTGAGCAGCTAAGGTCATGTCATGCATTGTGTGGCAGAAGAATCAGACTTGCCAGAAGTGTGTGCTGGGTATGAATCTGTTACAGATGTAATCCTGGCTCTAATGGGTGTGCTGGTGAGACACACATGTTTTCAAACACAGTTGTTATATTCATATGCTGTATGTTTAGGCATACACTTGAAAAATATTAGGTGCACTTTGGGGGCGGGGAGTGTTTTCTTTAAATGGGTGGGCTGCCTATATTCACTAACGTGTGATGTGATATGATGTGTTGGCCTTGCTGTGATGGGGTGGTAGATCCATAACCATGAAAAATAACAATGTAGGAAGACTTCACTTTTGTGCACCATGTAAGCTATGGGGATGGTTGTTAGTGTGGAGCGGCAGCTCACCCTGAGTTTCTGCTTCTCGGTCAGGAGGTTGTTGTCTTCATCCCGCTCATACAGGGTGACCAGCACATTCTTCAGCCAGTCACGCATACGCAGGGGGAATTCACTCAGCTCGGTGTCGAGACACTCAGGAATGACTGAAACCCAACCAGAGACCCATCAGCTCATTTACAGTCAAGGACAAGCCATGTTTATTGTCTTTAACCATGAAACACTGACTCTACCTAACAACGGCACAGAAATTATTAGATAGCAATATGCATTATAGCAAAGAGAGCCACTGCATTCAAAAAGTTTGCACAATTTTATTTTTTCTGACAATGCAAAAAAGGGGCCCATTCTGCAAGTTTCTGTGGGGATGCCATTCATCCCCATAGAAACCTCCCCAAAATCTCTTCAAGCCAGTACTCTCTTTCTGCACCTTGACATCAGAACCAACTTTAGGATTAACCTGAGATAATAAACAGCTTGTGGATTGATCCAGGTTTGTTTGTCTTTGAACTTTTTACCTTCTTAAGTTTTTCATTTTGTACAAAATAGGAAAGTATAAGCTTGCCTTTCACAAGCAGCAGAAAATAGCATTCCAGCTAGGAGGAAAACATTTATCTAACTTCATCAACCATCCATGAGTTCAGTGCTTAAATGTCTGTGTTTGTTTGTTTTTTTAAATTAATCTAGGACTTACTTGACTAATGACATATTTGTTAAAATGCTAGCTATCACGTTAATCCAGTCTGGAGGAGAAGATATTAAAGTATTTCTTTCTGTTGGTTGCAAAGGCCGCTTCTTGCCTTAAACTTAGAGACCACTTGAAAATAAAAATATCCTGCCAACACTTAACACAGTTAAGCCGCCTTGACCACACTTTCTGTGTTCTGACCTGATCTAACTCCATCCCATCTGCTCAAAAGTTGGGCTGGTGATATGTTTACAATTTATTCAACATGTTTGCCTGCATGCTTAAATGAGTGATTGTTAGTTGCACAAGGCATTCATAGTGGAGCCCCTGGAAACAGGAAATCATCACAGCCACTGAAGCAACTGTGGATACCTTGAGCTAGGGCAAGGACAATGCCTGCAAAATAGAAGCTGTCTCATTCTACAGGCTTGTGGTTAGAGATAGACGCAGAAAGATGCTGGAGACAAGAATGTTCTTGAATGAGTACTTTATCACTTGTTTGTCACCTGGGGTGTCATGTAAGAGACATCACAAAATCCACTGAAAGCCTATAGCAGAACTTTACAGCATGGTAAATAGACCATTTTCTATTTACAGGGATCACATTTTCTATTTACAGGATACAGAGGATCACGTTTGCCTTAAAGTTAGGAACCAAACAAAGCTGAAGGCCAGCACCCAATATTACAGAACCATCATGATCATGCATTCTGTGACCATCAGACCTGAGGAACTGATTATGTCATTTTCTCCCCCCTGTGAAATCTTACACCCAAAATAAGCTGCAATTATGAAGCATTAAATGAAATATGAAAACTTTATAAAACCTATCTACCAGTGAGCAGGGTCATGGAAATCTTGGCTAGATATAGATCAAGGTTGTGTCTTCAGAAGTGTTGCTGTAGCTGAGGAGCCTGCAGAGATTTCCTAGCTGTTCCCACTTCTTCGGGTGCAGATGATTAATTGGGAGTCTAAGCTACCCTTCTCTGACAGAGACCGAGTTCACATGTAATGCTAAGCCAAGCCATGGCACAGCACAGATTAGCAAATGTGTAGGTTCCCAGAGCTGAAATCTCAACCACAGCGCTCCTCCCCTGGTTCTGCTGTTGCCTTGTTGCCTGGGGCTAAATTGAGGTTTGAATTAGCATTACAACCAAAAGCAGGCTTGTGGTTTGCCTCACGACAGACAAACCACAAGCTCTAGGCAAGGTTTGTTTCTGGTTTATTGGACCAGTGAACACAATGGCTGAGGTAACCAAGATGGTAGATGCCATGCCTTTGGGCTGACCTATGGGTCAGTTTTCTCAGCACAGTTCTCAGAATCTGTTGCTTGACTGTTATGAATGCAGATGTTGCAGAAAGGCATATTCTGTGTTGTCACAGAATGGCCTAAATATTTTATTTTTTCAAACTCAATCTTTTGGCAGGTGCTGTGCACCCCTGTGAATGAATAGTCTTCAGGATGCCCATCAGCCAAGCCTTATTTATTTGTGACCCACATTGATCATGTAGATTTCCATATATTTCCATGCCAACATAACTTGATGTAGTGTTTTTGCTATTCCTTAGACCATATGGATTCACTAATTCTGAAAATATAGTTGAATATAGGCTAGGTGTAGCCAATGTGGTGCCTTCTAGATGATGTTATGATACAGCTCCCAACAGCACTAGGCAGCATAGCCAATGGTCAACGATGATGGGAGCTGTAGTGCCAACATCTGGAAAGCAGATGTTGATTAGTTGCCTTCTGAATGGATTTTGATCTGCAGCATAAGGAGGAAAACTCACATTTGCAAGGTCCAATGTAGTCCAGGTGGAGCTTGTGTCCTTTCTTGGTTCCCTCCAAAGTGCATTTGGTGGCAAAGAAGTGGCAAGAGGTGTCATAGGTCTTGTTGTCAGTTCCACATACCTTTGTGAAAAGGGTTAGTTGCATTAGAAAGACAAAGTGCTCAAATGCAGCATGTATCCATCTTTCTCCCCATCCAGGACAACATCAATAACCTTCCAGAGATAGACAAGCTCAAATGTCTATCAGGTATTCATAAAGCCTCTACTTGGCAATCCTTATCCAGCCCATAACTCCGCTTTCAATTCATTTAAGGATTGGACTGCAACCCTGGATTTGATGGGGTCAGCATATATTTGTCACTGCACTCCCAAGTAATTTTATTTCCTGGCAGCTGCATGCAGATGTTAGAGTGGCAGGGTCAAGATGGCACTCAACAGGGCAAAGTCCAGGGGATGGAGCTGCTATCCTCCAGTAATGCCCTTGGCACTGACCCATCAGATAGGGGAAGAACTATTACCAGGCAGGGCCTCTCACTCCATGTGTCATGGGCTGTTGAGGAAGACTTGATAGTCAGATGTATTTAACAAAACCACTGAAAGATTCAGAAGAATGACAAGCTGCACTCATTCTGTCCAGTGGCATGGTGGCCACTCTCCTGTCATTGCCCACATCCCTTTCTTAGTAATTCCTGCAGCTTCCTTTCATGCAGCTGGGCTAGATGACGTGGCTAATTACCCAAACCTTGCAACCAAGGGTGTTAAAGAAGGATTATACACTCTTTATTGTATGGCCAACAACAGCGAGCAAGGATTACTGATTGCCTAGATATTGGAAAACTCGATGATTTTGCCCACGCTGGAAGACTGGCAGTGCAACTGATAGACCTACATGGGAACTGGCAGAAATGACCGCAGAATCCGTAACCTGGGAGAAGAAGCAGTGGATAGAGGGACTGGAAAAAATTTAAGGACTATTTACAAAAACATTGCAACTATATGAATGTTAAGAAGGTGAAGAGTAACAATAGTGTGCATTCAGTAATTAGTTAAAGAGAATTGAGAATATAGTTGAAAATTGAGCTGAACGTTAATATCTGAATATTATTTTGTCTACAATTAAGATTTGAAGGTTTTGGAGGTAATCCTGAAAAGGGAACATAATAATTGGAAAATATAAATAAGTATCTGAGAATAAGGGGATAAATTGCGGTCTAGAAATTTTTAATTTGAAAAGGCGGAAGCGAAAGATGTGAGGAGAGTTCCAGATAGTCATGAAAGTAATGATTTGGTTTATGACATTATATGTTTTATTATTTTGCTTGTATGTTCTTTTTCTCTGTTTGTTTGTTTCTCTTGTGTTGGTTTTTCCTATGTATGTTGAAAATTTGAATAAAAATCTTTTATAAAAAAATATTTACCAAACCTGCAAAACACCCTTCATTGGTAGCATAGTACTTAACTATGTGATATGCCCTAACCAGAAGTTACAGATGTTACTGGGAGAAACCTCAGAGATGCATCAGCTGCTATGATAAAGCTAAGATATAACTGAGGCTATAAGCAATCACTGTTCCCAAGACCTCCACTTTTGTCAGTTTGCTCTGTTGGCCTGACTTCACTCATCTTCTCTGCTCACCTTCTCAAACACCGCAGTGCTGGCTGGGCAGCTGGAAGGATCCTGGCACACACACATAGGGGTGTTGTTTTCGTCCAGTTCACAGACTTTGCCGTGCTTGCAGTGATAGTTCTGGCAAGGATCTAAGCAAGACCAGGAAGAAAAGCAATTTTTGAAGCCAAAACAGTGTCAGTGGTTCCTCACTATTAAAAAAACCCTGGAAAACTAGCCATTGAGAGATATACTCAGCCTTTTCACCAACAGTAGTGTCTGAGCCATCCAGCGTAGTGTTTGCTTGGCTCACATATTTATTTTATGGGGCAAGGCATATAGTCCAATAGTCTATGTTTGTCTCTAACTAGGGCAGCACAGGAATGACCAGAACTCCTTAACTGATGTATTGGAGTTAAGTTGCAAGTGTCAGCATTCTCTTCTGAAAGAGTGATACCTTACTGCCACCATAATGTACTTTGAATCTTTCCCAAGCCTAAAAAATATCTGTAAACACAATCTGCATGGCTAAAATGGAGTGAGAACCGGCCTCAGAGGGAGCATGCGGTTCACAGACCATTTCCTTCCCTCTGTGGTCCTTTAAAGTAATACCCCTGCAACTTAAAGCAGCCTATGGAGAGAGTGATGCTGTTGGGTCTTCAGGGTGTAAGATTGGAAGGGCGGGACTTAAATGACAGTAGCAAGAAGCATCATCTGGCATGAGCATACCAGGGCTGCTGCAGCAACCCCTTTTCTTCAGTTTTTTGCATTTCTATAAAATTTGCATTCTTATTTACAGGGCTGGCCCACCCTTGAGGCAAGGTGAGGCAACCGCCTCAGGTGGCAGGATGTCAAGTGCCAAAATGCCTGGCCCTGCTTATATTATGTGTACATTTAAAACATTGCAGGTTTAAAGTATAATATCCAGAGTACTGCTTACTTTCAGCAACAATCTCCTCCACATCCACAGTGGGCTCTTCAAACTCTCCAACCTCCACCTGAACGGGGTTGATACCCACAGGTTCCTGGGAAGAGAGGTGGAATAAGGTCAGTTATTGTTGTGTTCTGGTTGATGACAACCTGGAAGCCTGTTGCGACATAGAAATCATACCCACTCAAATAGGCTGTTTAAAGAGAGACTCACAGCATTAGGAAGCCAAAGGTCAGGGAAATGTCTCTAGAGTTAATTTCCTTTCATGGAAGAAGAGCCAACCTGAGGTATTATTAATAATAATAATTAAATTTCTATACAGCCCTTCACCTGAAGATTACAGGGTGGTTGAAAATGCATAATAACAAACAAAAACAACACACACACCCTCCAATTTAAAAGGCCATAGATTGTTTAATTAGCCAAAGGCCTGGGAGAAGAGGAATGTTTTTGCCTGGCACCTGGAGATATGTAACAAAGGTGCCAGGCAAGTCTCCCTGGGGAGAGTATTCCACAAACGGGGAACCACCACAGAAAAGGCCTGTTCTCATGTTGCCACCATCTGGCCTCTCATGAAGGAGGCACACAAAGAAGGGCCTCAGATGATGATCCGGTTGGTTCATATGGGGAGAGGCGGTCCTTGAGGTATTTAGTATATGCCAATAGTGAGTTCATACTCTAAAATGTAGCCAAATAGCACAGGAGTCTTTGAGGAAGATTTGGAGAAGCACAATTTTTAGTGAACTATAAAAGCAGGGGAGGGGACTCTTGAGCAATTCAGTGAGGACTGAACATGCTCAATGAGCACAACTGGTTGTTGTGGGCGGAGGATACAGAAAACAGGGTGGGGAGGGGAAATGGAATGGAATGGGGTGTCCTAGGAGAGGTATGGCTGACTGGTGGCTAGCTGGAACCCTGAACAAGAGCGCTCCACACTGTGACTGAGTCAGTTACAGGCCCCACCTCTCAACAGTGCTTCCAGCTGCAGTTCCGTTCGTCTCTTGATCACCCTTAAATTTCAAGCAAGCAGTATGAAAGCTCTTAACTCATAATAAAATGAATAAAAAGACCGATCTTGAGAAATGGTGATCTGAAGCAACTATCTCCAGAAGGATAGCTGTGTTAGTTTGTTTGAGCAAAAAAAGAGAGCAAAGAGTCTCGAGGTACCTAAAGACTAACATATTTATTATGGTTACAGATAGGTAGCCGTGTTGGTCTGCCATAGTCAAAACAAAAAAAATTCCTTCCAGTAGCACCTTAAAGACCAACTAAGTTAGTTCTTGGTATGAGCTTTCGTGTGCATGCACACAGAGTGTATCTGAAGAAGTGTGCAAGCACACGAAAGCTCATACCAAGAACTAACTTAGTTGGTCTTTAAGGTGCTACTGGAAGGAATTTTTTTATATTTATTATGGCGTAAGCAGATAGCAGTCCATTGAACGTATATGCCATAGAAAATGTGTTCGGTTGCTTCCAGACCATCTGTTTGCTGAGCATCCATCCCAATTTGCTTGGGTGGTGGTCATACAACTTCCCATCAGTCGTTATCCCACCTCTTCCAATGCATCTGCTCCCACAAAGCACATAAAAAGAGGGGGTATTGCATCACCTCGTACCTCTATTGTAGGGTCCTCTACTACTTCCATCTCCTCTGGTAGAGCATCCTGCTGCAAGGAAGAAATAAGGAAGTCAGGTGTGGATGTGTCTCCCATCCTAGCTCTACTGCAGGGTTTCCCTCAACCTTGTGCCTGAAGCTCCACCCCTACTGCAGTCACCAAACACACACATGTACAAAGCTCCTCTGCCACCCCACCCAAGTGCTGCAACCAGCAGGAAGAAAGTGTGAGACCTTCTGCATAATGCTCCCCTTTGCCACAGTTAGAACCTAGCAGGCCCCACTGAAGTCTGTGGAGCTCCTTGCCTTGCTTTGGAATGCAGTATTGCCGTATCTCATTCCTTAATAGACTTGAAGCCACTCAAGTATCCTTGGCCCAATTTTATTTAAAACACATACACACTTAGAATTCAAAGAGTTAAGGTCCTAAAATTCCTGTTGCTCACTAACTTGGGCACCACCCAATGGACTTTGCCAGCAACACTTACAGCACACCTGTCCCTAAGGTGCAGTTTTGGCAGAGACTTTGAAAAGAATCAAACTTTTGAATACAGTCATCTGAGAAGGATGGATTCTGGCATGTGTACATCCATGCTTGTTCTGACTTAGCCTGAGTTCACACAGCAGTTTATTCCATTTCCCTAACTGTAGCCAATCAGAAGCTGTGATTTGGTTTCTGAATGTTTTGGAAGTCGAACGGACTTCTGGAATGGCTTCCATTTTGACTTCCAAGGTATGACTGTACTTGAGCTTTCATATGATGTAAAAGCCACTTCCAGAAGTACAGCAGAATACAGCCGTACCTCAGCTCCTGAACACCTTGGGAGTCAAACGTTCTGGCTCCCGAACGATCGAAAACCGGAAGCGAGTGTTCCGGTTTTCAAACATTCTTTCAGAAGCCAAATGTCCAATGTGGCTTCTGATTGGCTGCAGGAACTCTGTTCTAACAAAAAATTGCATATGATGTGGAGGCTCTAGGGGTCTGAAAGAAGGGGGCAGATGAAGCTGCAGACAGAGGAAAAATGGCAAATGGGAGGAGACTTGGAAGAAGCAGAGGTCTAGGAGAGGAAACGGCTGTGACCAAGGGAAGGAATGGTGGGCCAAAGCCAGGTGGAAACAAAAAAAGAAAACCAGGGCTTGGTACATGCCCCCCATTTATAGCCTCTCCTTTCCATACTTCCAGAAACAACAACCCCATTTCTAGAATTTGATAGGTATCTTGCTGGTTTGAACCATCTTTTCCTGGCACCAAGAAGGGGAGGGAAAATCCCTGCAAGTCAAAATGCGGCAATCCGTTTGTTGTATGTTGGCCCTGAAACTCACCTTTCTTATGCCTTGCTCAATGGCAATCCTATAGCAGGAGGGGCAGAAATTTATTCTAGGAAACAGGTTTTAAAATTTTATTTGATCTAAGTTCAATACTTACCGGTGCTGCCAGGGCCTTGCCTGCCAGGCAGAAGAGGAAGAAAATCCAGGCCCGCATCTTTGTTTGAAGTCTGGAGAGAGAAGAGGAAACGTTTGACTTATATTAGGGTGGGGATTGAGTACTGTATTCTATTGTATTAATTTTAATGAAAATTATGGGCTTTATTGCACGAGAGTCAGTTTATTATTTTCATTTATTGCAGTTTATTCCACCCTTCCTCCAAGGAATTTAGGGTAGCATGCTTGATCCTCCCCGAATTTTATTCTCACATCAGCCTTATGAGGTAGGCTAAGTTGATAGATAGTGAGTGGCCCCAAATCATGGTGAGCTCAAATGAGGATTTGAGCTCTGTGCTGAGTAAAACATTGTAACCACAACACCATGTTTTCATGTTACTGTTTCTTCTTACAGAAAGAATAAGTAAGGGTAGATAAGGCTTTTGACATAGTTGACGCTGATGGCCTGCAAGGATGCTTCAAAAAAGAAAGAAATGGGAGTAATGAAAATGACTTGAACTTAAAGCTGAAGTCTTCTGCAGAACAATTCATCCATGAACTTGATTAACATTAGCTGATGGAAGGATTATACCTACAGTTTCCTCCCTTCAACAATAGATAGAATCAAAGAATTGTAGAGTTGGAAGGGAACCCAAGGGAATCTCAACTAAAACATCCATGACAACTGGCCATCTAACCTCTGCCTCAAAACCTGTAATGAAGGGGAGCCTCCTAAGGGAGTTGGTTCCAATACAGCTCTTATTATCAGAAATTTCTTCCTGGATTTTTAGGCTGAAATCCCTGACCAAGCACATGCCCAGTGGGTAAATTTCATTGAACTTGGTGGCCTTGTGGAGCCTGTTGAAAGGCTAGACACCACAATGACCTCCATCCACTGACTTCCTGGACCTAGCAAAGCAAGCCTTCATTTTGACCCCTTACAAGCAAAGAAGGAAAATGCAGCGGGAGAGGTGGCAGAGAAATAGAAGGCAGAGACACTATTTCTGGGCTGAAACCTGGCATCCATAAATTTTACCTGTTAATGTTTCAGTAATAATCTCTGTTTCAGACATTGTGGGTAGCAGGGGAAAATAAAGGACCTAAAATGAGCTTTTTCCCTATTAACTACATTGCAGAAGTGTGCATAACAGATAACCATAGAAGGATTTAAATATCCTTTGGATTTAAAAACAAAAACATGAAAGTTTTACTGGGAGCCAAAAATATTTCAGAAGGGGAAAAATAAGGGTGGGAAAGTGGAAGTCAGTGTTATTCTCTGCATCATGTAATGTCCAAACTATCTTCCTGCTGGTGCAAAGGCCTATCTTTCAAATGCAACAGCATTAAGACATGTCCATCCTTGCCCAAGGAAGATCTTGCCAGAAAGCACTGGGGAAACAAACTGCGGAAATCCTGAGTGTTTAAATTCTTTGCTTATCTGCAGTCTGGCATACCGCAGAGGCTGCAACTGCAGAATCTTCTTCTTCTACAGGCCTATATATTTCCTGCTGAGAGTTTTCAGACCTTCGCCTATTTTCCTAAGAGTAGAATGTTGATACAGATGGACAGTGCTCCTATATGGAGCTATCTTGTCTACTCCAGATGCAATTTGTAGAACTTGAATATCTGTGTCCATGAAAAGTGGTATGAACTGTGAAGAAAGGGGAATCTCTTGCTGTGCCTAGCATGCAGGCAAGAATCTGAATGTGTTGGCTGTAAAATGATATATGAACTCTTTGCTAATCTGAAAAACCACTCACAGAGTACTAGTGGGTACAAACTGGTGGGCATCTGGAAATCCAGACCAACTGATACAACATGCTATTGCCAAATGCCTCTTCAATTGCTCAGATACAATCTATTGTTCATTGATCACTTCCTGCTTCTAACAAAGAAGGGAAATCCAGGAGAATATGGAATTTGTATTCACAATAAGTTTATGAGACTGATGCATACAGATCTCTCACAAATGACCTTCCCTATTGATAGCAGGTTCATGTGACAGATGTACGACAAAATATAAAGACAACACTGGCAGTGGTTTTTATTTTTCATTTGTAGTGCAAGCCTGAGTGAAATATTTATCTAACAGTGAAATATTTTCACAAACCAGAAGTCTCCCAAGTTTTAAACTACGGGATATAAAATTCTGAACTCCAACTCAGTACTTTCAAAATTTGAACTCTGCAAAGTAGCTCCCTACCTACAAACATATTTCACACCTAAATGCAACCTCATACAAAATGTGGCTGATTTCCCTCCCCCTCTCAATATATTGCAGATCTAATATGAATGCATTTCCTGGCATTTCTATGGCAGGTTGCAGCATGCTCCATTTGCGCCCAAAATGTGGAATCGTTTTCCAAACATGTTGCCTTCAATGCACTACAGAAAGGCCGATGTCTGAAATTTCCATCTCAGCTTTAATTTATGCCAAATGTAGCAGGCTTTAGCAATATTTACACTGTAACTTTCTAAAAACGTTCATGCCTCCAGCATGTTTTGCATGATGTATTTTTTGTGTACGTGGTTAGATCATGGTAAGAGAAATATAACCATTCATGAAGATGCAACAAGGTTTCATGCAAAATCATGGATGTGCCTGACAGTTCATCATTACAGACACTTTTTGGTTAGTATAGAGTAAGGCAGGAGTAACCAACTTTGTGCCCTCTAGATGCTTTGAACTACATATCCCACCATCCCTGACCAGGCTGCTTGGGGCTGATGGGAGTTGCAGCCTAACAACATCTGGAGAGTACCACGTTGGCTATGTAGGGGGCCTATTTCCCATTGACTTGGCGGCTGTCTAATGCAGACATCCCTTTCCTCTGCCCCCACCTCTTCTCCTGCTGTTCAGTACACCAAGTCCTTTCCTCTTGCCTTTATTTGCTCTGGAGGCTGGTGAAAGCATCCTTCGTCACTGCCAAGACCTGAAGCTGAGGTCAGTAGCTCTTCCCCTTTTAAATGGCATTTTTGGGGGTGGAAAAGTACAGCTGCATCTGGCTGTTTCCCTCCTCCTGGATCTACAAGGGATTTCCTTGTGCTTTGCCTAGCGGGGCTCTTTCTTGCCTTGCTTCCGAGGTCCACTGATGACCAAGGTCCGACAACTTCGCTGAGGTTCAGCAACTACGAGCCAGGTGTCAAGGGGCTGCTTTCAAAAGACAACACCCCTTGAGCCACCCTGGTCAATATTGGATGAGGATCTCAAGTGGTGTTCCTTGCCCCAGAGAATATCAGATTTCAAGGCCCGGGGCTGTGCTGAGGTATAGGAGCCCATCTGACAGCAGGCCAGCAAACACTGAGAACAGCCACTGTTGTGCTTGGAGGTAGAAGGGACATGGATCAACTCTCTGAGCAAACAAGCTTTACATAAACGTCTGTCGCTGGAGACAGGAAACAAGTTTATTTGAAAAACAAAAATGTCCAGAAATGCCTCCATAAGAGACTTGTTTTTTGTCTAAGAGGAGCTGCTTTGGCTGAGGCCTTCCAGCCGTACCCTTGGTACTTTGCAATAGAGGTGCCAAATGCATAGTGTGATGTTCTCGCAATGAAGACCTGTGCAGCAGCCATCACACGGCTATCTCTGGAAAATCAAATGACTCAAGGCATGCTGCTGGGGCTTAATTTGAGCCAGACCCGGGGCTCACAGGGGCTCAACCCACAAACATGCTTCTCAGTGCCAAGACTCAGAGTTTGGATCTGCAAAGTGGATTAACACACATGCATTCATATCCTCATGAATGCAGGCGCAATCCCCCTTTTCCAACACTCTTGTTTCCCAGGAGTAGATTGGAACACAGAACAGATGCAAAAGCTAGTTGTCCAAAGGAACAGAACTTCAAATAAGGTTTAAGTGGCATGGTCACTATCCTAGTTTGAACTACAGAAGAACCAGATTCTGTGTTTAGTTTCAGCCAGGGCTTGCTGTGTAGGCTGCGGTTGGTGTCTGGTTCTATAAATGGTGCTGACATTTGATAAGGATCCCATGCTTTTCTTTAACTGGAGTGATTTCTCTATATATCCCATGGGAGGAAAAGACAGCTTCTCAGCATGTGCAGAGTCCGTCCCCACCCCAAGAACAAATAAATCACAGCTACACTCCTATCCTGCAGAAGTGTTGCCTTTTTCCCATGATCTAATTGGGGTTGGGGGGTTGGAAGTCATGTAGGAAAGTGCAAGAACAATGATGTCATATGCTGGGGTGCTAGGGTACTTGACAAACTCTCCTTGCAAGTGAGTGACATGATAATAAAGCTTTCAAGCTTATTTGTGTCATTTAGCACAGTCAGAGAAGGAGGAAAATAGTCAAGTAGAGGATGGAAACTTCTTTCCTTTGGTTTGGGGTTCTTACTTCATGCTAGCAGGTTAAATGGCAACACTTCTTTGCAAGATGGTTCACGTTTCTGATTGACATGGCTATAAACTTATGCATGGTTTCCCTTATGCATGGTGCTCATTACCAGGAAACTACATTGGATTGTGGTCATATTCATTCTAATCCATTTGGTAATATGCTATGTACTTCTACATTTTGGTGTGTATGTGTGTGTGTGTGTGTGTGTGTGCGTGTGTTGCACACATTTATGCACACATAAATATAGGGGTCAGTGCAGCTGCCTGTACATTTGGACACTCCTTTAGGGTGTGGCTATGAAGGTTGTCATGATGAGCTCTTCAATATTTGCCACTACACCACTGCATCTGACACAACAATCCCAGAGAAAGCTTCTTGTGAAAGGGAAAGCGCACTAGGTGGCAGTTTGCATAAACTCCCTGTCCTGGCCATTTCCCTTGGGTGCCACATGTACCTCTTTGTTGCCATGTGGTCTATAGTCTGCGAGGAACAGCGGAATATTGAATCCCCACTTTAAATCAACATTCAAGTTCACATTATACCCAGAATAGGCTTGAAACTGGTAGCTGCTGCAGAGCTAAGGAAGGTTCCCACCAGGGCATCTCCCCTGGGTGCCCCCCCCCCCCCGGTGATATCTGGAATGCAGCACACAGGCCGTTGTAAGGGTTTCTTTTGTCCTAGTTGACTCCCCCATTTTGCCTTGCTGTCTTTAATGCC